ATGTACTACATAATTGTTTTATCTGTTTTGAAATGAGGTACACTAAAATCTATGGTTATTGTTTTATGATGCACCGACTTACGGTGATGGTTTATGGACTATGACTGATATATGATTATTGGTTTTCACTGATATATGATAACGATGATTACAGACCTAATGTGACTCTTGGGTAGGCTCACGGGCCCCAAGATGCTCCATTAGGTTGGCTCCCTTTTGTCGTGTGCTTAGGGTAAGCCCTATGGACTTACGGGCCTAAGGATACAGGCCCAAAGCCTATCCTTAGGTGGCTTCCCTTTTGCTGTGTGCTTAAGGTAAGCCATACGGACGTAGTTCTGAGGAACTGCGGATGGTGTACATGAAAAGGATTTAAACTACGAGTTTCAAAAGTGAAACTTCATTATGATTTTATGATGATTTACTGAACTATTACTCGTTTATTGTACCTACTATGATTTTATCGTACTGTTGGAACACACTAGACATCCTATTCGATCTCATGAAAACGTGATACTATGAATGCTTCCTATGAACTGTGGTCTTCATGGTTTCTACTCGATGAACTACTAATGGAATCCCAGATTATCTTGTAAACTAGTATACGTTTGATTCAATAAGGAAATTATGGCTTCACATTTATCTGCATGTCCTTTAGCATCACTTGGTAGTTATGTATTACTGAGCTTTTCGAAGCTCACTCTATTACTCAATATTGCAGGTTAAAAGAATTGTACTAGTGCAGCTATCGACAACAGTAAGGGAGTTCTTCCGGCGTTGTTTTCAGAGTATGATACATGTGATTAGGGGGCATGTAATTATATTTTGTTTTATATACGAGTCTGAAAATCTGTTTTATTTCTGAACATTAATAAATGATTTTATACGTTACATGTTTTAAGAAAAGTTTTAAATTTTCCGCTATTTTTACAGTGGGTCGCTCCGGTGGCCCTAATGTGACACTCCAGATCGGATCGGGTTACCCGCATCGGTCTGAGGGGGTTACACTATTTTCTTTTAAAATATAAAATTTGGAATATATTAACTTTTTAGTTTCAATTGGTAACTAAATTTAACTTCATGGTTGAAATTGATTCAAATAAATTATTTGTCGTGAGTGTAAATTTAGATAAAAATCCTGTTCAAATATCCATTTGAACTAGGAAGCATAGTTGAAGTACATAATTGAACATAAAGAAAAGCCTTTATATACCAAATTGTATTTTTGAAGTAAAGTTTAAATACCTAATTAAAAATGTTGAAATACTGAATTAAACCTCGTAACTAAGTTTATAGACTAAAATGTATATTTACCCTTATATCTATAGAGGTTAGAATATGACTTTTAAGAGATGTAGGAGGTTGGACAACATGAACAAAAACTAGCTCTTCACCTGCGTGGAAAGCCGGTCTTTCTATTGAGGAATACATACGCACCTAAATTGTGCACGCCCTCCTGTCAATTTCTTACAGTTATAAGTTACGGTCTAATTAAGACATTAGAATTAATCATTCAATTGAAAATATATCAAAATAAATCATCCGTCTATTTTATATTAAATTATAGATTTTTTTAATTTTAAAATTTTTAATATTCTTTTTGTTATCTTATTTTTTATATTTTAAATATAAATATAAATTAAAATTAAAATGATTAAAATATGTCGAAGTTTGAGATTTCTATGAATATAGATTAAACTTTTTGCTCAAAGTCGGTGCAAATCATTGCATGCATGCACATTAATATATATAGATATGTATATAATATCTCAATTACAAATTTAAAAAAAATACAAAAATGATGCAAAATATGTTTTTAAATAATTTTAAAAATGTATTCAAATTAAAAATCATGTATAAATAATTCAAAAATGAAAATATTTTAGAGATTTTGAAAGTAAAAGATGATATGCTCAAGTATTGCTTGATGGGTGTTTGAGAGATATACATCTATATATAGAAATTTTAAATTTTCTTATATAATTTAAGTATTTTTATTAAAAAATAATTTTTAATTTTTTTAAAAAAATTATAATCTTACCTACTAATTTTTTTAATACAACATTAAAATTAATATATTCCAGGGTAAAATGTACAAATTGTCTCCCAATTATAGGATATTACTTTATTAAGTCTCGTGATTATTATAAGTTACAAAATGTCCTCTGACTATAGAGAGTTGGTTTATTGAATCATTGACTATTAAAAGTTACCAAATTGTCACCTGATTATTCATTCTCATCCTTTTTCGTCAAAAAATTAACGGTAGTTTGAGCTAGACGTTATATGTTGATTGAGATATGATAGTCGTTTGAGATTATGATATCATATTTTATCATATCTTAGTCAATGTTAACATTCAGTTTAAACAACCGTTAATTTTTTTAATAGAAAATGATGAGTTTGGAACATAATGAATAGTCGAATGATAATTTTGTAACTTTTAATAGTCGATGGACTCAACAAAGTAACTCTCTATAGTTGAATGATCGTTTTATAACTTTTAATAATCAATGACTCAATAAAATAATATCCTATAGTCAAGAGGTCATTTGTGCACTTTACCATAAATTTTAATATAAAATTTGTGCTCTTGTACTCTAAGATAGTGACAAAACTTTGTTGGGTTTGGTTTGGTGGATGATATGAAAGCGGGAACGAGGCGGAAGCTGCAACAGCCCACACATCTGTCTGGTATTACTTCTGCAAATTGTTCTAATGTTGGGAATGGTTCAACCAAATTTATTAGGTTTAATCAATTAAATCAGTGTGTTTTTAAAAAAATCTACTCGAACACAAATTTTTAAAATAAAAAAATAACCTAAAATCATCAAAATTAATCTTAATGGTTAAAATAATCATTATTATTTTTTCAGATTATAAGTTCAAGCACCAACTACTGCAAGGATGATTAAACGTTCATTGTCAAATGGTAATGAGTACTTAAAACATGTACTACTTTGTAATCATCTTAAACTTAATAAAAAAATACATACATACATATGTTTATATAAACTATATATATGATATTAATTAAAATTAAATAATTTAATCCAATAATTTAATTAAAAATTATATTTTGATTTTAAATGTAATTATATCAAAATAAATACAACTAAGATAAAAACTTAAAAATTAACTTAAAATTTAAATTTAATCATAATTAAGTAAAAAGAATTATATTAAAATTTGAATGATTGTGATTTTTTTAATTTATTAACCACAAACCAAATTTGAAAATAATTAAATAATAATCAAAGAACCCAAAGTCAAATTAAATAAAACTAATATGAAATTAAATCGACTAATTTAAAAAAAATTAGCTGACCCTATTGTCATATGTAATGGGGTAAGGGGAAGGTAGGATAGTAGGCTGCCCCCAACGTCAGGTTGAGAGCAGCTTCCGTGGGAGACCTCCGACAATAGATTATGAATTGTTCACCATGAGATTCGATCACACGACCACAAGGTTAAGAGAATCCTAACCAACAATTCACGGGCCAATTTAGAGCATTTTCAGAATCTGGGTCATATGCCCAAGAGGCCGAACCCAAAAATGCCTACCCCACATCGATATGATGATTAGCCCTTTCTCGAAATTCATCGTTGTGTAATAAACTTTGGACAGTCCCATCTAGGAACGAAGTCAATATTAAAATATGTAGGGATAATTTATTTAACTTTAAAATAAACGACCTCTTAAAAAGTAATTAAATCCTATAAATTAAGGGGTTAAGAGTTTAATTTTATTAATTTTAAAAGTTAAATGTCTTTAAAAGTAATAAAATTTAGATATATTTGGAGTCAAGGCTTAATTTCATTAATTTTAAAACTAATAATATCCCAAAACAATTGTACCAAAAAGTTTTAGGATGACAAGGACTTAATTATAAAAGTTTCAAAAATTTTCAATGACCCTAATATAATTAGACCATAAAAGTTATTTTTTTTGTTTTGGTTAAATTTTTTGGGTTGGTGGGGTATATATCTTTTAGTAGAGATGTCAGATGATGTGTATTCGTTCTTTGAAGTTTTGATGCTGCTTTATTCCTGGAGAAATTGTCCATAAAGTGTGTTAGGATTAATGTTGTCCAGGTAGATGGAAGATGGTGAAGTCTCATTTCAAAGATCAATGGAGCAGAAGAAAATTGAGATTATTGGTGGGGTGAAAGCTCCCATATAGCACCGAAGTCCATATTCAAATATGTGGGGAATTTATTTATTTAACTTTAAAATAAACGACCTCTTAAAAAGTAATTAAAATATCCCAAACATTGGTTTTCTGGGTTTTCGGGGGGGGGGGGGGCACATATATACACAAACACTCCCTTCTTCTGCAGACAAAAAAGTTGATCAACGTCTGGGAAGAGCTCTTCAACCTTTGGGAGAGAAGTACAATTTGAGACCAAGTAGGAAAAGATCATTTAACAGAGAGCTCCGAGGAAGCGAGAGATCATGGAGATAATCAGGGTTCAACAGGTATTTCTTTTACTACAACTTCATTCATCCATCTTCAAATCCTTTTTAACTTCTCAAAACTCGATCAAATCGTCATTGTGTTGGAAACTCGAACCTGTGAATCAATAAACACCAAGTTTTGTTACTCAACAAGCATGAACCTCGGTGGACGAACCTGAGGTCCGAACTCGAAACTGTTTGTCTGCCACCGGTTGCTGACGATATCAGCTTTCTTTTGTTCTTTTGATATCCGCCTCCGACGGGAACATTTCTCAAGATGGAATCGAGTAACACCAAGTTCGGTTACTACAACAACTACAGTCTCACACAGCCTCGATAGTTTATCGCCGAGCCGACTCGAAACTGTTTGTCTGCCACCGGTTGCTGACGATATCAGCTGTTTCTTTTGTTCTTTTGATATCCGCCTCCGACGGGAACATTTCTCAAGATGTGAATCGAGTAACACCAAGTTCGGTTACTACAACAACTACAGTCTCACACAGCCTCGATAGTTTATCGCCGAGCCGAGGCTGCCCAACTTACACATGTCCGGACGCAGCAAATGCCCAAGATGTGAATCGAGTAACACCAAGTTTTGTTACTGCAACAACTGCAGTCTCTCACAGCCTCTATACTTTATCACACAGCCTCGATACTTTTGCAAGACATGTAGAAGGTACAGAACCAGAGGGGGTGTCTTGAGAAATGTTCCCGTCGAAGATGGATATCGTAGGAACAAAAGAAGCAAAGGAAGCGGTTCCAGGAATACAGCATCGAGTTCTTCGAGTACTATTTCTTCTAAAAGTACGGGAAACACCGATATTTTAGGCCTCCGACCTCACATTCGTCCACCGAGATTCAAGGCTCTTTTGCATCATCGTACAGAATTTGGCGGCAGTGATCATATTGGTTTGAATTACGGAACACTGTTAGATGATTACTTTCAATTGCCTCATTGCAAATCCTTTAAAATATAACATGGTTTTTCCTTTTATTTTGTTCAAAGTTGGATTTATATGCAGATTTTGATGCAGGTAGTTGGCAAGAAAGGGCACCGAGTCCTCGCATACCGATTTCATCAAGTCAAGAGAATGCCATGCGCTTACATTCCTCCGACTACTTCGATGGTGAGGCTCAACCTGTTAGGAATCTTCATTTATATTTTTCACTCGAAACTTGACACTTTAAACTGCCTGGTGATATTTATGTTTTTGAACTGCTCTGTTCTTAGGCCTTACCGGCTTTGACGAGGTGGTGTATTCATCAGGTACATATCAATTACTTGTTACACCATTCAATTTCATAAGAATATACATAACATTTTAAGCTCTGTTTTAAGAATAATGAATGTACAAAGACCAAGTTCACAGTGTTGGAGTTGCACATATTTTGTTTCCGTTCTGTAGCAGAATGGATCCATTGTGGTCCGGACTGGACCATCCCATTCGGTCAAGATGCAGAATCTGCGAGTCTTCCCCAACATGATGGGCCGCAACCTATGCAAGGTGATGCCGATGGTTCCATTATGTGGCCAAATGATCTTCCACATTTAGGTATATCATTGAACATCCCTTCCTAAATGAAAGAATGACTCATAAACATGTCTACCATTATGGATAAGAACCTGGATTGCTTATGCAAAATTTATGTTTTGGAACTGCTTTGTGTTTTAGGCACTGACGGCTTTAACCAGATGTTCATGTTGGGTTCACAAACCCAAGGGAACTCTGATGGTTCCATGCAGCCGAATGATCTTCCGAGCCACCCACATTTTGGTAATATATTAACCACTCTTTAGGTTGCACTAATCTTTCTCTAATCAATGAATATGGTTTTCCTTTTGAAAGAAAAGCCGCAAACATTCTTCAAATTTGTTTTCTCCCCCACATTTCATTAAGTAAATGGCCCTGTTTTATTCCCTAGCTTGCTCTGACAACAATGTCAATCTACTCCCCTCCAAGGCTTCCCCACCGTGCTGAGCAGCACCTTGTGCAAAACCAAGGGTGTTCAGCTACTTACTATTCAACATCAAATATTTAACGACTTCAAGTGATGGCTGTGATTATGCTTTGAAGTTTTTGTTTTAATTTTTCAGGGTCTTCCACCTTGAACCAGCTGCTGGATATACCCACAAGTTCACAAACTCTACGGAATATTGGTTATCCCCCGCAGCCAAGTGACCTTGTTAGCCCCCACCAAAATTTAGGTATGTCGTTAAATAGTCCTCCCTGTGAAATCAATGTTGCTCACTCTCTTTGCTATCTTTCCTTACAAAAACTCAATACGTATACCCTATCTCTGGGGTCTAACTAACAACGTGAATATCAACAAGCATTTGGTTCTGATGCAGCACAAATCGTCAACCCTTGCAAAGATCTCTAAGCAAAGATAAAAAATACAGGCTGCGTCTCAAAGAAAACAGCAAAAGAAGGATGAACAACTTGCTGACTTTAGATTGAAGCTTGCGATGAAGGATGAACAGCTTGTTCGCCTTAAATCAGAGCTTGCATTCAAGGATCAACAGCTTGCTCACCTTATACCTGGTGAACTTGCTGGCCTTAGATCAGAGAATGAGATGCTGAGAATAACAAAGATGAAATGGTTGCTCGCCTAATATCAGAGATTGAGATGCTCAGAAAAGAAATCACATCATGTATCAAGCATAACAACCTCCTCACTCATTGAACAAATGCTCCAATCTCTATTTCATCTAATCTCCACTACTTTATGCAATCCGGATTCATTTACTGCATTATCAGTCTCGTCTCGTGGCTTTTGTTTAGAGTATTTTATTGAACTTACAACTTGTACTGTTATTATTACTATTACTGTAGACAACAATTTCGTCCGACCTTGTTTATATGATATTATATTATATGCTTATGTAACTTATTTATATATAATATTTATATGCATATTATGTTATTTATGTGATTTATGTCATATGGTATATACACATTATATACATATTTATAATATATACCTACATTGTATAGTGTGCATACATTATACCGTTATATGTATTATATTTATTTTTATATTATAGTATTGAACATATATTTATATTATATATTTATTATATGTTTTATTTGGTATCAGGTCCAACAACAATTACAAACAATGTCAGGCCTAAACCGAAGACCAACACTCAAACCCAGCAGCCCACCAACAGTAGCAAACTCCTAACCTTAAGGCCCCCCTTAGCTGCGCGGCCAATATGCAAGGGTAGATCGTCGGCAGGTGAGGACTCTCTCATGTCAGCAACAACAAGTCCACCACTCTGAGATAACCGACAATGAAGTAAAGCCATAACAGAAAAACACGTTAGCATTTTTAGGTCAACTAGGAGTCTAAATCGAACCGAAAATAAGGATTCCTAAACCTATAAATCCATGCAAGTTAAATGAAAAAACACAAGTGAAACCAAGGAAAATTAGATCCAAACAAAACCAGTATTTGTAAAGCTCGAAAAGTAATAAAAAGAAAAGGTATTTTTTTACCTTATTCGGGTCTTGATGTGTTGTTAGCCTCGGTTTTTCTGGGGGGTTTTGCTTCGTTTTTTTTCTTCTCTTTTCTTTTGGTTCGAAAAACCCTTATGAAAGAGGGAAGCCGATGAAAAGGGAGGAAGGCATTTGAAAGTTCTCTTTCAGATCTAGCTCTCCCCAAGGCTATTTTGTAAAAACAAAGGTTATTTTTGAAGAGAGGAAATCGAAAGCTTTCGAAAAATGAATTTTTTTTGGGTTTCACAGCTGATGAACGACGATCGGTCGGAGACTGGGTTTGGGGTTGAGTGTTCTTCGTTTCACGAAGAACACGAAGAACACGGGAGAGAAAAATAGAAAGGGTTTTGATCCAATTTTTGAAGGGAATAAAAAATAAAGTATGTTTCTGATTTTTTGGGTTTTATACCCAGACCCGATGACCCAACCGGATCCCCTAGGGGATTCGCGTGCTTTCACGTGGATTGGGTCTAATTGCAGCTCTGGTCCCTACATTATTTTTAAATCTTTTTTGAGCTTTAATTTAATTTTAGTTTCTTTTTTTCTTTTAAATCTACCATTCATTTATTTCGTTTTTTTAATTTGGTCATTTTATTTAATTCATGTTACATTATGTTTTAAATTTAATTTAATTTTTCTTTTTCTTTCAAATTCGCCATTCATTTTATTTCTTTTTTAATATGGTCATTTTTTATTTAATTCATGTTTTTTTGTTTTTTTATTTTTTTATTTATTTCTTTTACTTATTTTTATTTTGTATTATTTCTTTCACTTTCATAGTAATTTCCCTTATTTTTTTAATTTTAATTTTATTCATTTCCCGGTATGTATGTATGTTTTTTCCCTTTGTTTCATTTAAAGTATTAGAATTTAATTTTTACTAGCTTTTCCTTCTGATTCATTCCATATTTTATTTTTATTTTTAATTTTTTGCAATCTAACATCTTTTTGACTTTTTAAGGGTATTCTTCTAAATCAATCGGAGGTAAGTAATTTAGATCAAACTTTTATTTTCTATTTAATTTTCAATTTTCTTAATTAAGACAACTGGAAATTAAATTAGTACAGAAATGGTAGTTCAAGGGTGTTAATCCTTCCTTGACTATAACCGAGTCTCAATTCTGACATATTTCTAGTAAAACGCACATCTGGTAAGATGGTATCCGATCAACCTAAATATTTTTTTTAAATAATCGATGGCAGCTCTAACGTTTTTATTTATGTCGAAGCCTAATTCCGGGTCCACCCGAAAAACGATTGCGACAATTACCACATACTTTGTTTACAAATTTTATTACCACATTCTCATAGTAATACTATGATATTATTGACATAAAAGTAATACTATGATATTATTGTCTGTTGGGTAAAATGGTCATTGATGTTTTAAAACTAAGATTTAGTTATTAAAATTATCGATTTATAACAAATTAATTATTCTCCGTTATCATTGTGGCTGACACTGTTAATGGAGTGCTTCCATGAATCTGTGACGAAGAAAAGGCCCATTTTGGCTTGAATCTTGTTGGACGAGCACTAAAAGTTTCGGGGACAGCTCATGGATCATTTGAAGAACTGAGTTTAAAGCTCCCCTGTTTTCTTTAACGACACGATGAAGTTGAAGAATGTTGTTAACGACAAGAAGTCAAGAGCTTCGTTATCTTGTACTTTGATGTCTTCGGGTTTTAGGTTCTCTAAGTTGCTTTCGACTATGGCAAATTTGAAATTGATTCCCACGGGTTTTGCCTATGTTTTAATTTCTTTTCCGATGCTGTCAAACCGCTCGACACAGAAGCCGACTGCTGCAGTTATTCAGACGCGTGTGCACCGCTTCCGTCGCCGACTTTTCTACTGCCTCGGTAGCAAGGTATCTTTGACTGTAAGTCAATATATGATCTCTGAAGCGAAGTTTCGATAAACAACCGAAACTACCATTGTTGTCGCTCCGACTCATCCCTCCACCGCCGTCTCTGTTTCCGCCATTAGAAACACACTTCCGGAGCTTCCGATCGATTCGGGCATACTGATATTCCGTTTCAGACTGTTATTATATCTGGTATCTTCTAAAAAAATGGCGGGTAAAATCAGCGCCATTGTTGTCTGACATTTAATTTTAAATTTTTACCATTTTAATAATTTAAAACAAATATTTTATTTTAAATTAATAAATTTACTTTTTATAATAATTTAATATTATTTTTAAAGATAAATAAATATTTAATATCTTTTAAAATAATTTTAATTTTTAAATCTTAATCTTATTTTAAACAAAATGTAAGTTTAATTAGTAATTTAACAATTATATAGTTTGATACATTGATTATAAACATAGAACACTTTCCACAGGGATCTTAGGTCCAAATAATCCAATTATTCTTAATAGTATTTTAATATAATTTTAAAGCAGTAATATAATATAAGTTTAATATTTATTTTGATAAAATTTTAGTAGATAATATATTTATATCAATGGTAGATGGTATGATTGGCATGCATCGAGTCAGGGCATCGGCATCAGCCGCCAAGACTCCTTGTAACACCCCCAACCCGTATCCGACCCGGATACGAGTCCGAAGTGTCACATTGACTTTTCAAACCTTGACTCTTAAGAAAAATCCCGGGAAATTTAAAACTTTATTTAAATCAAAATAAAGACTTTATCAGAGTGCTCGTACTTAATGACTTATTACATGCCAACACTTTATACATAACCAAATACATACTTTGTCAAATATTTCTGATCTGATCTTTTGGTAAGGAAAACTGACCTTTCTTGCTCCGCATCACTCCTTACTCTTCTCGAAACCTACGTGTGAAACAATCACACGCTAAGTCGAAGACTTAGTGAGGCATAACAACTTATAATGCACTTTAAAACATATATTGATACATGCATGTTCTGTTCTATCATGTTATAGCAATTCCATGCATTTTTTCATATCGTATAAAATCATATCAGATTAATTACAGTAAATCCATACATAC